TTGAGTAGGTGGGGGTGAGGGGCTGGGGCGAGGGTCAGACTGGAGACAGTTTTTATGTTGGGGGGCCAGATGCTTTTGTCCTCCAAGTACAACACTAGACTGCTACCGTGGGTGGTCCGGGTGGTCATGTCACTTCAGTTGGTGAAAAGTGACGTTAACGACAAGAAAATATAAACAAGCTTGTGGAAACAAGACGGTCTAAAGAAGAAATCATAATGGGTTACATATTTCTGAAAACTGTAATATGTGGCTGCAAAGCATTGCATAAATAGCTTATTGTTTGTCAAAATTGTTTAGCTGGACAAGTTTTTAGTTGGCAGAGATTACAGTACACAGCAGCAGTCTGTTGTGTGTCATAAGCTTCCTTAAATTGCCACAATATCACCACACCACCGACGTCTTTTTAACTGCTTTATCCACAATATCTCTCTTTTAAAAAGACGGCGTGGCTTCTGACACCAACATTGAAGTTTCCACTGGGGGATGCTTTTCTCTCACTTGATTCATCTGTTTTGCCAGAACAGTAGAATGTGGGCTGATCCGCTAACTTGATAAACCTTGCTGTGTGTTTGGTGTACATAGGTTGTCCATTCTCAGAATACTGCGATTGGCAGAAAGCCCGGTTATTTTAGTCACTGCTGACATAAATCCACCACTCACATTCTTCCTAGCCTTTCTGAATTCTCTATGGATTATTACTGCGTGGATTTCTCGTGGACTGAATTTTATTATACTCATTAATTTTGAGTTTTGCTGGATTGGGTCAATCTTTATTGGATGGCTTGGCTATCGGTTTATCGGCCAGGCCCATGTTTAAGAGAAACAGGAAAGACTTTAACCAGGCTATGTGGATTTTATTTAATTCATGCCAATTGTTTAAGGACTAGATGGAGATTCATGGATTAGGGGATTGTTATGCATTAAGAAAAAAAAAAGTAATCAACATGTGATTGAGTGGCCTATACAGAGTTTATAGAGCTCCTCATGGTAAAGCAAACATGTTTGGCACAGCAGTGGATTCAGACCATGATTCTGCTTGCTAAAGCTCCCAGACAGTATAAAAAAAAGTGTTCTCAGGTTTTATTAAACAGTACAGCGGAGTCATAACAGCCCAAGATGTAACACATGCGGTGGTGAAGCAGGTGAGGAGTCCACTGCATGCATACTGTAAGGGTCAAGATCACAGCTAAACGAGTGTAAATGGCACAGCTGACAGAAGTTGGATCACTTGGTTACTATGTAGATCATGGTAGTTATTTTGTGCGTGTTTTGCTAAACAATTAGAGGAGTCCTTTACACTGCTAATTATTCAAAAAAGGACCAACTGCTTTATCAAATTGAAATATCTAGATAATCCAACCAATATATTAACAACTTAAAATAATTTAAAATATAAAAATAATATCTTTGCCCAACACAGAGATATATAGAGTATATTTAAAGCCATATTTGGAGGAAGGACCTGCCATACTCCAGTTCTTGAAAGTTAAACTACCAAATATCTACTTTGGTAGATAGGAAGAAGAAGGGCTTTTCCCTGTATTGAGACGGAATGACAGAACTGAAGAAACTCATATGCTGCTGTAATAGCCTCTTCAATCAGTCACATTTTGGTACTGCATGATGTATCCTGTAAAGAAAAAACACATTACTTCATGGACTCTTCATGCAACAGTCATGCCAAGCTCAACGCTCTTCATTTCTCTCTTTTTAACTATTCCTCACTAATTTCCCCCTACCCTTGCCCTGATTTGTATGCCTGTGTCAGATAAATTGTACACTCCTTGCATGCAGATCCATTTTCTGAGCAAATAGCAGTAACGTACTTCAGGAACACGAGATCTTTTCCCACAGTGTGATTTTCAAAACAGCTGCCTGTGACTGTCTCTCTCTTGCTGCTGAAATGTTTTCTTTAACAGATGTCGGCTTACAAATTATATACCTCATCCATAATTCTATTCATATGACTACAGAAGTTTTTTTATAGCAGCACATGTACAACATACCAGGATACAATCGTAACTGGATGCTGCAGATGCTCCGCGTTTTCGAAGGCAGTACAGCACGGCATCATGGACTGTGGCAAAGAGGTGGCTCTTGGTGATGGAATCATAGAAGAAGTCCCCGGTCTCCAGCTGCTCCACCACAGTGGCTGCAGTTAGGTATATTTAGAGAGCCAGTACACAATAAAGGACACAGATAGCACGTGAAGCCAAGCCCAGCTACATGCTACAGGGCTGCAAACAGCTCAGTTAGATGTCACTGGGCTGCAAACAGCTCAGTTAGCTACACCATGGTACAACTCCACTACTGAGACAACACAATAAATCACTTAGTTATGCCCAGTCAGACACTCTCAGTGGGGTTATCAACATTCAAAGATAGATAGGTGGCTTAGAAAAATCACTTACCCTGACAACCAGCCATATACACATCCACATCAATCTCTCCAAAGTCCTGGAATATCTAAGTACAGAAAAAAATAATATTAAATACTTCAATTTTTTTATTGGCTTTTCAATTTTTAGACGCATATTAACATATCACAAAATACCCACTCTTCTAATTGACTTTGGTCTGCCCTGACCTTACATTTACTTAGTAGACAGCTAAAGCTGGGTCAGATAATTCTTGTAACAACTGGGGATTAAGGACCTTATTCAGGGGCCCAGTGATGAAATACAAACATGAGATTTGAACCAGCAACCTTCTAATCACAGACACAGCAGCTAACCCACAGAGCCACACACAGCAAGGCTGCACCCATGGAGTCAACACTGAAGAGAACCAAGACCATAATTATAATATACATTGTGGAGGACATTGAGAGCACATCTGAATATTGGGAGGGGGTATGTCCCCCATAATTTATATTATAATTACAGCCTTGACACCACCCCATTTCCCTTTTGCCAGGTCCTATTTAAACCCTGTCCAATTACTTACATTTTTCATGGTCTTAATGGCCACCGTGTCTATGAAGTTGGCAGTGGAAAGGTCCAGGATGATGGAATGGATGTCCCAAGTCCACTTCCCTAGTGATCCCAGAGAGATCTGCTCAAGATCCCTGCTTAGAGTGTCATCACAGCTGGAGGCCAAGGTAGTGGTGTCCCCATCCAGCTCGGAGACAGATCCCAACATTCCCAGTTCTGGGTCCCCGCCCTTCAGGTACTCCCAGCTGCCGTGCTCTCTTTGCAGTTCGGGGATGACGAACACGGTGCCGTTCTCTCGCATGGTGAAGTCTTGCTCCTGCTCCTCCCTTGTCAAACCATCCTGCCTGTCATCCTCTCTCCAGTGGACCACCTCCTCTTCAACGGAAAACACCACTGTGTTGCCTTCTGCAGCTTTCATGGCTGCTTTCTGGAAAAATACAACCAGCCTTGTATTTGTGTGCATGAAAGCGCGTGTGGTGCTGTGGTGTGATTATTATGTACAGTCACATGCATTTTATTTATGTAGCTAATGCTTTTATCCAAAGTGACATATGCAGTGAGAAAGCAGGGTCAGACTATCCCTGGAACAACTGAAGAGCAAGTTTCCAAAACTCACTGCACAGGATTTGTTTTCAAGAAAATTTTTATGCACTATGGAAATTTCATTTTATATGAGGACTGAGGGTTGGTTCTCGGGAAGCCTGATTATAGTTTATCGGTGGTCCCACGTCAATAACAACAAAAGATGAACTGAGTGAGTTTTGGAAATGTGCTCTTTGTTGGGGCTAAGGGCCTTGCTCAAGGACCCGGCATGCTAATCTGCTTACCCGCACGCCATCCCCAAAAAGCATACTCCTGTGAGGAGATGAACACACTTGTCTATAAAGTTACTCCGGCTGCATGCACACCTGTCTCTTGGCCTCCCTCTTGGCCCGCCTCTCCGCTCTCTTTTCCCTTCGTCTCTGTTTCGCCTCCTGCCTCCTCTTGTACGTGATCATTTTGCTGATATTGATCCCGCTCTGTTCAGCCACAAGTCAGGCAGCAGTTACCATACGATTCACATAGCCCCTCTTTACATAACTCTTCCATTCAAGGAAACTTGCAACGTGTGTGTTATATTTTTACAGATTATTTTTATAGATTTACATGATCCTTTTTTAAAATGCTTTCCTTAGATTTTTAAACTGGCACATAAATGAAACAGAATAAACACACAATATAACAGCACTCGTTCAGACCACTAATAACTAACCAAACACAAAAATTCAATATCCCAAATCCCTAACTCCATACATCTCCCACCTAACATGTTCCTTTTGACAGGTGGATGTGCAACAACAGGAGACCATACCTTTTCTTTGAGGGCCTCCAAGTACAGGTCAGCATTGGCAAAGTACACTGTGGCGGACGACTGGAAGATAGTGACACCGGGAATCTCCTGTGCCTGTCCGGGAATGTACAGAGTGTCATGGAGCACTGATCTCGCACAATGTGCCAGTCTCATGCATTATGAGAAAGACCTCGGTATGTATATTGATGCTTCCATGTCCCACTCTTGCCAGTGTGGGGAAGCAATATTAAAGGCCAATAGGATATTAGGTTACATCTCTAGGTGTGTGGAGTTTAAGTCAAGGGAGGTGATGCTACGATTATATAATTCCTTGGTAAGACCACACCTAGAATATTGTGTGCAGCTTTGGTCACCAGACCTTATTCTTATTACTCACACCTCCTACACACCAACTATCTCACCTCCTTGTATTTTTCCATGTCCAAGTAGATCTCGGTTCCTGGAATCTGGCCCAGGACAGAGTACTTTGGACTAAAATAGGGAAAAGCAAGCAATTAAATATGGTCTAGTCAGATCCACCATCTCGGGAGGACAGCTGGGAATATTGTCCCAGGACTGGGCCTAGGAGAAGGCCCTGGTGGGTGGAGTTATGCATCATGGGAACCTGGTTGAAGTAATTTTGTCCTTGGCCTGGGAATTATGTACAGCAGGCCTTGGTCTACTAACTGTGCATAAGAAACGAAGAACCAGTCCTATATGAAACAGGGAACAAGGTAGCCTAGACAGACAGCAAGAGATAAATGATGGAAGGAGTCTCACAGCTGGGTCCTGAAGATGACCGTCAACAGGGCAAACATGATGGAAGCTGCAAGACCCATGTCCAGGTGGAACAGCAAGGTGAACATCCAGGTGACCAGCCATACCAGCTGTGGAGAGAAGGAAACGTGCACAGGGCGTGGGGGAGGTGCAGGGAGGTGGACCAGCAGAAGGACAGCCACAGTGCAGGTCAGATTTGCATTTATACATTTGCACTTCTGTACATCAGAGAAAAATCAATACTGATTATGTTGCCAGGTTCTTATTTATGGTATGAGTTTTTGTACAGAACACATTTAGGAAATTATGCTTTATTTGCCATTTGTACAAGATCAGGAGAAAGTGTGGGGTCAGAGCATATGGGTAATCATTCATCCAGTGCCCCTGGAGAATTTTTCAGGTGGTTACGGATGAACACTCAAGGGCTCAAAGAAGATGTGGCTACGCTGCTGAGCATGGGTTCTGAACTGGCAACCTGCCAATCACAGAGGCATAACCCACTGAGCCACACACAGCCCCAAATTTATTTGTGTGGCAGTTTGCATGTTTTTCTGTTTATGTATGTGTCTGTCCCTTACCAAATCGACCTTGCTGGTCTTCCACAGTGTGATGATGTCATAGAACTGCTTGAACATGCCCTTCAGGTTGACTAGCACAATAGCCGAGAGAACCGCCTGGGGAACGAAGCACACAGACTTATCAAGCTATAGCTCAGATCATCGGATGTGGATCTAGTAAGAGAAGAGACAAAATGGACGTGCCTTGGGCAGCTCTTGAAACAGGGGCCCCAGCTTCAGTATAGCGATCAGCACTATCAAAGCAGAAACTACCCCAGCAATCTGACAACACAAGCAAGATTCATTAGACCAGCAAAAAACACACAATATATTCCACTTAATGTAGGTTGATTATTGTCTTTGTGTAGTTTTAAGGGATTCAAGATCCAAGAGATTTGAAAGGCAGTTTATTGTCATACACACAGTAAACAATCAGTTACACTATGCAATGAAAATCTAGCTTTGCATGCCCTGTCGGCCACCAGTAAACACAAATTGAACACAAACACGAATTAAGATGCTTCAGCAAGTAAACAGTATGATCTGCTTTCTCTTGTGAAAAAACTGAATGATGAATTACTCATTGAAAGAATCATTGCAGTGACTGAAATCATTTCATTCACTTAAAAGATTCTTTCAAAAAGAATGACTCATTCATGAACAGCACGAGTCTAGTGGCCGCAGGTGTGTGTGCCCATTCACCTGTGTCTTTCCCCCTGTGGTCAGCTGAACGAGGCTCCGGGACATGGAGCAGCCGACAGAGTAGCAGTGGAAAAAGCCCCCCGTTATGTTGCTGAGGCCCAGAGCTACAAGCTCCTGCATAGGAGGGATGAGAGGGTGATCACCAGCAAAAGCAAAAGATGAGACAATAAGGAAGGGGCCACTGTGTTTCAAAGAGCTCTGTTGCGGTGTACAGTTAGCCTGCGGATGCTACAGTACGGTAGTTGTCAGTTATAGGAGTTGGGTGTTTTTGTGGGGAGAGCAGGTGCTTGCAGACCGACAGCGTTTCGTGGAGAATATTCCACCAAGGAGGGGCTGATTAATTTCCAAAAATACACTACAAACCCAGACATTTGCATATTCTGATTGCATTTTTTTTTAAATGGAAATGGTTAAACTCATTGAATCTGTCCAATTGATTCACCGCCAGCATCCCTACCACCACTGCCCCTAGATGACAAATTTTGCCAGTTTCTGCACAATGTAAACCCGTCTGCAGTCATCAGAAGGTTGGGAATACCTAAATTAGAGAAGTCATATACTGCTCTGTAAAAAATTAAGAGACCACTCTATATTTTTTTTAAATCTGCCTTTTTAAATCTTGGTAAAATCCTGTGACCGAAGGCTGCACTGTGAGACAGGCTGCTTCCAGGCTCAAAGTTTCTAAGACAGCAGTACACAAGAACAAGGGTGAAGCAGGAGACACTGGCAATATTCAAAAACCAGCCAGATAGAGGGCAGAAGAAACTTTCTAATGGCAGAGATGACCATCAACTTATCCAGCAGCGCCTCATAAATCAGAGGATGACCTTCCAAGGGAATGGGAAACATTAAGTGGTGTGAAGTGCACTGCTAGCATAATTCAAAACAGGCTTATAGAAGCAGGACTGAAGACCTTTAAAGCAAGGAAGCAGACCTTCATCAATGAGAAGCAGGGAAGAACCAGGATAGAGATGGCAAAAATGTATGTGTTACACAGGTGTATAACCATAAACTGATAAATGAGTGGAAATGAAAATTTTGCTGTGATCTCTTCATTTTTTCCAGAGCTGTAGGTCAAGTACTGGTGTTAGATTGCAGGACAATGACATAAGTGGAAACAATAAAAAGCAGACAATGTGAAACCGAGGGCCTGTGCACCATCAAGAGCATGCCCACGCTTTGAGTGTGCCAGCGAGATGCAGACCTGGTTGGTGTCCACCTTGTACCCGTTCTTGATGGCAAAGGTCTTGCCCAGAGAGACGGAAATGGCATAGCCCACAACGGCCAGTGCAAAAGCATCTCCGATCACCTCATGGAAGAGACTGACCTGCGGTGTGCTGGGAGGGATCAGCCTGTATAAACAAACACCAGCATTAGCCAGAAAGTCATGCTTTTGCGTTAACATGCTAATGGCACCATCCATTAGAAAGATAACAAGCATCTGCATTCTTTTATATAGTGCAAGAATTTCATTTTCTATTTATCCAAAGCCATGCAAATCGTAGTGATGTATTTGAATGCCGTATGTAGATGATGCATGAATATGGTCTCCTTATGGCTCAGGGCTAGAGGGCTCTCATGCATTGCCCACAGTCTCCACCCTAGGCAATCTGACTCACCCACTGGGGATCTCCCCCACTACACCAATTGCGTAGTTCTGGTTCAGGTAGGTATAGCTGGACAGCAGGGTTGCCACGGCAATCTGTTCCACAGGCAACAAATGGAAGGAAATGGCTTAACCATGGAGAGCAATGGCAGGATTGGCTCACAGCTGTGTCTGATAGCCTGATGCAACATTATTAAGGGGCATAGCCACTGTGTGACGCTCTAAGGGTGTGTGAGGGAGACGGGGCGAGTCTGTGTGTGCCAAGCATTAGTGTCTGTTAGTATGTGTCTAAAATTAAGTTCCACATATGTAAAGAAGCTGTATTTGTCATTTCTACAAGCACATTTGCATACTCCATTTTGCTCTCTTTTTTTAAGACACACTCGCATGTAGAGCAAAGCCTGGGGTCCGAGCTCAGGGTCAGGCACTAATCCAGTGCCCCTGGATCATTATTGGGGGCGTTAAGCATCTTGCTCAAATGCCCAATGGTGCTGTGGCTTCTCTATTGAGCTCAGGATTTGAATGCACAGAGGCTGAACCCACTGTGTATACAAATGTCATTTATGTGTGTTTTCATGATGCATGGTGAATGTATACTCAACATTGTCATTAAAACATACAGCAGGAGGTTAAATAACAAAATGAAGACAGAACATCTTTCCCAGCCTTTCATAATTCAGGAATTGACGAAAGCTGCTCCATCAGGCGGCACACTCACGGAGATGAGTTCCACAGGAATCGGAACAGGCAGCTTTTTGGCAAGGGCGGAATTGAGTTCCTTGGCAGAGAAGAGAGTCACCAGGGACACTGAACTGACCACGAGTGTGGGCACATGAATCTGGTGCAGCTGGGAGCAGATGTCCACCAGCACCTGAGGAGAGATGGGTGTGGCCAGAGTGAGAGGAACTTCTGGAAAGAAGGAGAGGGACTAAAGCTAAACAAGAAAATTCCATTGGGTTTCTTGTTGGTACGGGCAAGATGAAGAGTACAAAGGAAAAATGGAAATTAAAAAAAAATTTGAAAGCAAGAAAAAAAAAAGGATTCTGTGAGTACTCACATACACCAGTGACAGAGGTCCATTGAACCGCCTGGGTGACAAACCAAAGATGTATTTCAGCTGTGCCACGACTGCGTGACAGGCAGCAGCTGAGGTGTAACCCCGGACCAGGGGTTCGGACAGATAAGTGCCCACAAAGCCAAACCGGACCAGACCGAGGACAACCTGAGGACAGATGCATGTATCCATGAAGTGTCCATCCCTACAATTATTAATTAACAGAGTGACCTGCAAAGTTTGTTAATGTTATTCACCCCCCAATGCAGACCACATTTATTGGACACTTGGAAGAAAATATATATCAGTGGTCTTTAGCAACTGGATTTATTGAATAATGCTGGAAGGTTCATTCATGCTGATGTTCCAGGAGATCCAGAACAAGGGATCGATGTTGGGGGAGTGTGGAAATGATGAAATTCCAATACAACTCAACCAGTACGACGCTACATGCTAACCTGGATGATCCCTCCCAAGACAGTGGTGGTAGCAGCCACCTTGACCCGGTAGCTGTCCCGGGCTGCTTCGTCCACAATGCTAGTCAGGTTGGTGCCGTTCATTATGAGAAATTTTTGGTCAGGGGCTAATTGTTCCACCACACTGCCCACCATGATACTGAGCACCGCAAACGGTCCTGAGAATAGACACAGGGATATATCTGAACGTCGGTGAAGACTACTCACAAAAACACTGAACATCCATATGTACACACCCATAGCACACCTCAGAACACTGATAGAGAGTTTAAATGTACTTAACTCATGCAAATAGTACTTTGCATCTTACCTATGGAGATATGTCGGGATGTCCCAAAGAAGAAATATATCAGTACGGGGTACAGGCAGGTATAGAGGCCAAAAACAGGGGGTAAGGACGCCAAAAGTGCATAGGCCATGCCTGCAGAGAATACATTAAGTGGACCTTTAAATTAGCCTCAGTCATTATGTGTACTCAATCAGGATAAATATCTATAGAGGTCAATGTGCAGCGACAGCTCTCTCTGGTTGTTATGTTTGTTAGCTGTCACTATCTATAATGCTCAGCAGTCAGGCTCACCCTGTGGCAGTTGCATGATTCCCACACTAATACCGGCGATAAGGTCACCCATGCCATAGTCCCAGATGGAATAGCGTGGCAGCCAGTAAAGCACAGGCAGGCAACCCACCACCCTGCGCTTCAGCTGAGGCAGCGAGCACCTGGGAGCAGAGGGAGACACTGGGATATGGAATACAGGGGCAAAGCAGCTACCCATAATCCTTTGAGGCAGCACCACACCTGTTCTGTGCCATACAAACTAATGGCTCCTTCTTACCTGCATGAGTGTTTGAGCCGGTCCACGAGGCAGGGCTTCTTAGATGAGTGCAGCTTCTGGGCGAGTTCCTCCAGGCTTGCCTCGTCCAGTATGTCTCTGTCCACATGGTAATTAGTTCTCCCCCGTTTTGCAGCCATATTGGGCTGTTTGCTTGACTTTACTTTTGCAGGATCTGTCTGTCAGTCAGAGGTACACTGGTCCCGGTAGGTACAGTCAGTCCACAGGTCTGATGCTAATCAGATCTCAAGGAAAGGATATCCCAAGATCCTCAGATTGTATCCAGATACAGTTTTGGGCATGTAACCCCACAGATCAGTGCACAGTCTACTGTCCCTTCACTGTCCAGTAATCTGCTGCATTTATATTCCTCTGGGAGAAATGCACCACCTCTCAGATCCTAATAGTTAACTTACTCTTATGAGCCAAGCACTGATCAAGCAAGTCTAGCATGGACATGACTTAAGGACTGCCTAGCTATATACTACAGAGCTGGAGCACTTTTTAATTGGTTTTGATTTGTTAAGAGGTACCACAAATGCAGAGCCATTTTACCCCGTGACTCTTTTGTATTTGATGCAAAGTCGTAATGTAATTGGTTTGTATAAGACATTCTGAGTCGGCTGTCCACAGAATCCATTGTATTTTCTTTGCTTCACATTTATTTTATCCAAATACGGGGTCCATTTTACCCAAAATATGAGGTGTCATCCCTTCAAGGACATAACAATACTTTCAAACTTTCAAATGTTGATTTCCTACATCAAATGATTCAGAGTTAATGTTCTGTGCAGAATAAATTACTTTGAACTTTAAATGGATATTCTGTCCACACATTTCATCGGAAAATTACTGTGAGAACAATAAGTTTGACGTGCTTATTTGTCTAAACACCGGTAATCGTCTTCTTCCTGTGTTTGAGTTGGTTATACATTTTCCACTGTTTGTTCCCTTTAAGGAGCCAAGCTCCAGCTTTCTGTTACATGCAGCAGATTGAACATCAGATACATTAATGATATACGCCCTTTAAGGGGGCGGGGGGGTCCAGCTCCCGGCTCTGCTGTGTCAGCGATTCTGCAGTACAGCTCACCAGGTCACAGGGACCCGGATAGGGGTGTGCAGTGTGGAGTGTGCAGTTCGGAATCCTGCCCATTTCCTTAGATTGAGAAACCCATGTGAATGGTTAATGCCATTATGGGCTATTACAGTACATATTACACCAGAGTGATGTCACAGGCTGAAAACATGAGACCTGATAGCCCATTTCTTAAAATAGCCCAGAAAAACTATACCTAGAAAAAAATATATATATAGACATACAAAAAAGATCTAGTTTTACTTGCAATTTTAAAAATACAGTATTAATAGTATTGTACAAATCAGGCATGTTTTGGCACAACATTGCAATAAACAGGGAAGGTATGTATATTTCAGAGGGAGGGGGAGAGGTCAGAGGTCAGGCCCCCCTATTCATCTATAATCATTTCTTCAATTTCTTAGGGAGAGAGACACTTGGAGCAATGGTACATCTCTCTTTAGGTTTGTATTATTTTTAGTTTTGGTATGTTCTTTATTTGAGGCCAATAAAAAGGATAAGCAGTTAGAAGCTGGATGGATGGATGGATGGAAGGACAGATGGATGTTTACATTTGCTTGCAGCCTGTGACGAATGCTTTTAAAATAACATGGAGGGCTTCTAAGCATCTGTTTCCCTTTGTAATAGTGGCTCGTCTCAGGATAGCATCATATTAGGGAGCATGAAAGTGCACTACATATGAGCTGATGGGAGAAATATGGTGGCCATGTAGAGGCCTTACAAGTAAACCTCCAAGCACATACATAGCAAGAACTTCTGCTCTCTCTTAGTGAGAACAGAGAGGCTCAGAAGGTGCTTCTACCCTCAGCCATCAGGTTACTAATACTTAATCAATGGTTATAATTTAACATCTGCTCTTTATTTATGCACTTTGCACTTTATATGAACTGTGTTGCACATCTCTGGTCTTTCTATCCCCCTGAATAACTCTCTGTTCCTTTTTTATTACATTTATTATATTGTCACCTTTCTGTTTTACTGCCTTCAAGTATTTTTATTATGACCAACTTGCACTTCACTGCAGGTAATAGTCTAACTGAACACCTTGCATGTGCCAAATAAAACCATTGAATCCTTGAAATAAAGATGATCAGCAGACGTGTGGAATTCTTACAGAAGGCCAGTCAGTCATAGCGGGAGGAGTTTTGAAAATGTTCAGTGATCAGAAACACAGTATGATCTAAGAGGTCACTTTAAGACATTGATGCCTTCCCCCAAAGCAGGTACACTATATGAACAAAAGTACTGGGACACACCTCTTAATCATTGAATTCAGGTGTTTTATTCAGACCCATTGCCACAGTTGTATAAAACCAAGCACCCAGCCATGCAGTCAGGTTCACAAACATTTGTGAGAGAATGGGTTGATCTGAAGAACTCAGTGAATTCAAGTACTGTTGTAGGATGCCACCTTTGCAATAAGTCAGCTCATGAAATTTACTCCCTGCTAGATATTCCATGGTTAAATATAAGTGGTATTATTGCAAAATGGAAGCATTTAGGAACAACAGAAACTCAGCCACGAAGTGGCAGATCACGTAAAGTAACAGAGCGGGGTCGCCTAGTGCTGAGGAACATAGTGTGTAAAAGTTGCCAACGTTCTGTTGACTTAATAACTGCAGAGTTCCAAACTTCCTTTGGCATTAACCCCAGCACACTGTGCACTGGGAGCTTCATGGAATGGGATTCCATGGCTGAGCAGCTGCATGCAAGCCATCCAAGTGTAATGCCAAGTGTTGGATGGAGTGGTGTAAAGCACACCACCACTGGACTCTGGAGCAGTGGATATGTACTGTGGAGTGACAGATCATGCTTCTATGTCTGGTGATGGACGAGTCTGTTTTTGGCAGATGCGAGGAGAACATTACCTGCTTGACTGCTTTGTGCCAACAGTAAAGTTTGGTGGAGAAGGGATAATGGTATGGGGTTGTTTTTCAGGGGATGGGCTATGTCTCTTAGTTCCAGTAAAGGGAACTCTTAATACTTCAGCCTACCAAGACATCTTGGACAATTATATATTTACAACAGTTTGGGAAAGGTCCTTTTCTGTTCCAGCATAACTGTGCCCCAGTGGTTGGGTGAATTTGGTGTAGAAGAATTTGACTGACCCACACAAAACCCTGACCTCAGCCCCATCAAACACCTTTGAGATTAACTAGAACACAGATTGCAAGGCAAGCCTTCAGACTCAAAATCAGTGCCTGGACTCACAAATGCTCTTCTGGTTGAACTGGAGAAAATTTCCACAGATACACATAAACCTGTGGAAAGGCTTCCCAGAAATTCTACCACTGAACCCCCAATGCACAAAACAGGACGAATAGTCTGTGATGACCATGCAGTCCACAGAGGACTACAAACAGAGAGCCATACTTGGCAACAGCAGATGGCAACATCATGTATTTCTATTAGGGATATGCATCTCCATTTCTGAGGCGAGGCGATAAACATCTCGATGCACCGCCAATCATCCAATACATTAAAAATACTTATGAAGTAATTACTATGCCAAAACAATACGATTCACCCCTATTGCGATGCACTGCAATTCGACATACGATGCGATGCATCATGGGACATGCCTCCAACTCCAAGCAGGCCATGAGACTTGCAGAGAATTGACCACTGACAGCAGTGAAGAACTGAAAATGAGAGTGTGTTTGAGAAGCAGTTTAGAGAAGGGGAATCAATCTAAATATAACATTATTGGTCCGAAATTATTGGTCAGATTTCTAAATAATTAAGGCATAGGGTCTCAACTATTAACTATATATAGATATAACCCTGGATGTGCTGCTTCTTGATAACTCCAGGCCACTGTACAGGCCTAGGGCAGGGGGGTGATGGTGAATACAGTCTGGAGGTGAATATGACTTAACAAAATAAAACTAAAGACTTTTTACTATAAAAAACAGCTTAGCAAAAAACAAACAAACGAGCAAACTTAGGACTGTATTAAAGATTCTTCCTCACTTTCCAATACGCATAAGAACGCGTTGGTGATTCTTCTGCCTTCACAGACACAAACGAGAGCTTGCTTTTGGGCGCAAATTTGCTGTAGTCACAAATTAAACTTTTCCGTGTTGGCTCCATAAAACATAGGCAAATACAACAAAATTATAACACGTATACTGGCTTGGTTATACTTAAGTGCACCGAAAGAACTAATTAACTTTAACATAGCAGACACCGCGACTTGGTGAAATGTGTGTAATTTTGAAAACCGCTAAACAGACTACATTTAATCAAAATCTTTCAAATGAACCAAATAAACGTCCATCTGTCTCATTGCCAAATATGGTTCAACATTTAAACAAACGGATGGCTCAAAAATATTCCCCTAAAAGTATACTGTATATATGATCCTGTCGTCTGGAAGCAGAGTTATCACCCCAAAACGTTAACTCCGTTGTGAGCTAAATAATTAATACGAAATTAAATGATTTACCTCACTATTCTACATTAGTAAATCGTATTTTACCGATGCAAAGATGTATAACGAGTTTATTCCAGATTGTATTCGGCGCACACTTTTAAATCGGGGCAGTCACATCGTGAACGTTTATCCGTTGCGAATCGGTGAATCTTACCATCCCTAATTTCCATGGTATTTTTTAAACATTATTTCTTACAGACTCACTCCATCCATTCACTCACCCTTTCATCTTCCAATCACTTATATTACTGCGGGGTTTATCTAAAACTCGTGAACACCTGTCAGCAGGTCTTCTGCGGCTTCTTTCCGGAACAATGACCAACTGTTAATATTTTCATTAATAAATGGAAGAGCGGATTGACCATTACTTTCCGACTGAGGAGCTGATCTTTGACTCTGATCTGTTGACCGTAGCAAATTATACATTTCAGTCAGATTCCATTACGACATAGAAAGGTTTTTAATGGATTTGGAATGTTGAAACTGGTGACAGCATCACTTTATTAAATAGTAAAATAAACAATAAAACACTGTTGCCTTTACCACTATATATTAGCTCCTATGAATATGTTCTTAAGGGATTAGTCAAGTGTGACTGTTGTGTTTTTTCTGGTTTTATTGCATTTAAATGGACACATGCTATTATTTGCCTAAAAAAGATTATAAGACAGGGAACTCCACCAGTTTAAGAGACGAATGTCATGAAACTTGATCTCGTTCTCATGCACTGTCAGAAAAATGGGTACAGCCCGGGGACAATTTTGTTCCCCAAGGTACAAACAACATTAATGTGCCCCCTACGGTAAAACAAATGCTCCTCAGAGTCTATTTCTGTACCTTAAAAGATACATTGACCTACAGCTATGGCACACAAGTGATTGTACCAAAGGTACAAATTGGTACTTTTTTTCCTGATAGTATGACGTTGCATTATCATAAGACTTAAACATTGAAAAATGACCTATGCATTAGAAAAAAAAATACAGTTTGCTCCTCTGTGTGACTCCCATTGGCTGATTATTAAACTTTAAATAAACGACAGCAAATACACAGGATGGTTTCTGGCCTGCTCGGCATTTCGAACGAGTGCACATTGCAGTCTATTTAAAGCTCTGCTGCAACTAAGAGCTGGCTAATGTCTGTAAACAGTCTGCGATGCGTCAGGAAAGTTTTAAGCCCTGTTCTCCGTTGCTCCATTGCCGTACGTAAAGAAATGCGATGCCACCTTCGTCCAACAAAGACTGATTGACCACGAAAACAAAGGAAAGGCTGGTAGGGTGTGCTTCATGTCCCGCTCACCTTACTGAAGCATGCTTGTAGTGCCATACTTTGTGTACTTATGCCTCTTACTTTAACATAGAACGTGCCAGGATTCCCCTGAGCTATCTTGACCAGCTCCTAACACAGAAGGACACCTCAGTTCGATGCTTTGTTTGGGGGCTTTGTCTGGCATTCTTTAAAGAAGTCACTGAGATCAAACCCCCATCAAGAACTAATTAAAGCATTGAGAAGCTAACGATGACATAATGTTACTAAAATACTCTTTTTGTGTCGCTATATTTACTGACAGTCTTACAGTGACCTTTTTCTCTTGCAGGTCTCAATATACGAAATTCTGTATTGCTTGGTCTAAACAACTTGCAAGACTGGTATGTCCTTCAGACATAAGTTTGTGACATTTGTAAATTATTTGTTTACATTCTAACACATTGGCAGTGAGAAAAGCTGTAAGATGTTAAGTGTAGAAAACAGAAGAGAGTAGGCAGTTCTTAATGGTCGGTGAAGTTGGGGATGTTTATAATAAACCACACAGTGACCTCATTTTGACCTAGTTTCAGATTTCCCTAAAGAGGAGCCGATCTCATTAGGTGACCGAGCTGTGTAGTGAATTTGTTTAATTGTTTATTTGGTTTATTTCATCTTTTTGAGTATCTTTTTGCTGTCGTGAGCCATGGATCCCAAAAACAAGCACGGCCTTGCGCTTCTGGAGCAGCTGTGGACGATGCGTGAGACGGGTGAGCTGACCGATGTGGTCCTGGTGGCCGAGGATGTCTACTTCCCTTGCCACCGCGTGGTCCTGTGTGCCTTCAGCCCCTACTTCCGGGTCATGTTCACCTGCGGCCTGAGCGAGTGCGGCCAGCGAGAGGTGGTGCTGCGGGACACGCCTGCTGAGAGCCTGGGCCTCCTGCTCGACTACATGTATCTGGCAGAGCTGCCCCTCACCAACACCAACGTGCAGGGCGTCTCCACTGTCGCCTTCCTGCTGCAGATGGATGATGTGTTCAAGCAGTGCCAGCAGCATATGATCGACCACATGGACGCCTCCAACTGCCTGGGTGTATATTACTACGCGCGGGAGCTGGGCGCTGAGGAGCTGGCTGATCTGGCGCAGCGGTATCTGCGGCAACATTTTGCCGAGGTTTGCCTGCAAGAGGAGGTGCTGGAGCTGGAGGTGCACCAGCTGCTGCCACTGGTCGGCTCAGACGACCTCAACGTCACACGCGAGGAGAGCATCCTGGACATGGTGCTGCGTTGGGTGGACCACCGGCGGGCCGAGAGGGCTACACACCTCGCTGAGCTTCTGCGCCGCGTACGGCTCCCTCTAGTGGCACCCGACTTCCTGCGAGAGGCAATGCGGAGGAGCACGGTGCTGCTGGGGGACGCTGAGTGCCTGGAGATGGTGGAGCAGGCCCTGGAGGCGGCCCAGCAGCATCCTGCTGCGGCACCGCGGCGCCTGAAGCTGCGATACGGCATGGAGACCACTGACGTGCTGCTCTGTATTGGAAACGACGGCCTGGGCATCAGGTCACGGCAGGGCAGCTACTGCGACTATAGCTTCTGCTACGCCCCCACCACTGGGCGCACCCTCTTCATCACCTCACCCCGCTATGGCGAAGTGCTGGGCTGTGTGTGCGCCGGCGTGGTGACTGAGGACAACCAGATCGTGGTGGCTGGGGAGGCAGGGGCCCGCAGAATGGCCCGGCAGAAGAACAGAACTGTGGATATCTGCAGGTAAGAGTGAGCAGACAGGAAGTGTGACCAACATACTGAGTGAGAAGGTGACGGTGGCAAGTCACGAAGGCAACTTAGGGACCAATTCGGATGAACGGGTATAGTGTCCAATTCAGGGATGGACTTGCTTGTGAGACAATCATGCTGATAGTGAATTGTCACAATCGCTCATGGTTAGAGATACTTGGGCAACGAAGGTCTAAATAATTCAATTAATGAATGAAGTAATTACACCCTCTGTCACATTTACTTGCCATCGCAGGTACAAGGCATCAGCACAGGGCACCTGGGAGAAGCTCTGCTCAGTGGAGTATCGGGATATGTACGCTCTTGGCACTTTGGGCGACACTCTCTACCTGTTGGGGGGCCAGATGAAGCTGAAGAACCAGTACCTCATAACCAATAGCGTGGAGCGCTGGTCCCTGAAAGGCGGGCCCTGGAGAAACTCCGCCCCACTGCCAATGCCATTGGCTTGTCACTGTGCTGTCAGCTTGAAGGGCTGTCTTTATGTGCTGGGAGGCAGGACACCACAGGTAATGGCTTGAAATGGAATAATTGCACAACACTCAGTTTATTTAGTTATATTTGTGGTACCTGATTTGAACTTTTAATGTCTGAATGAAAAATATCAATCCTTGGAGTAAATCAAAAGAAACCTGGTTCATTTCATTTGTTAATGCCAATTCCATACTTCATAATTGCTTATATCAAATCAGAATTTTTATAATTAACAATAACATAAATTATATAAGATGAATATGAAATGAAGCAGTAATATGGATTTTTCTTTCATATTGTGTACCAAGCTGCATTTTTCCCCAGCTTTGTTTAAATGTGTTCTTTAATTTAGATTCTGTGCTTTTAACTGTGCTGAGAAAAAGAGTACACTGATTTTTGAAGCAAAATTATAGAAACACTTACACATTACTGAGATGAATCTGCATTCAAGACTGACTGTATTCAGACCCTAATCAAGCCCCCCCCCCTGTCCCCCTTCCCATTCCACACCTGGTTATCCCCGTCACTGCCCCGTTCCACTCCCGTCTCTGCAGTGTGACAGGCCAGATGACGAGCCCGACCGCCTGAGCAATCGCATGTTCCAGTATGACCCCGAGGCAAACAAGTGGGAGGAGCGTAGGTCCATGAAGTTCTCCAAGTACCGCTGCAGCGTGGTGGTGCTGAACGGGGAGGTCTACGTGCTGGGTGAGGGGGAGGCCTGGGGGCAACAGTGATAAGCGTCTGATCTTAACAGAGAAAATTATTTTGAAGTATATTGCATGAAGATATACTTGAACTCTGTACAAAATAAAGGCATGGATACCTTGGCAGATTCAGGGAGCCCAGCACCTGACAGAGGCCTTGAATATGTCAAATTATGCGTAAGATTGGCAGGGGGGGCCAAAGTGACATTTCATCAAGGGGGCCAGAATCTCAAGCTACACCCCAGCTTGTGTATACTCCATTAGCCAACTTCCATTTGCACAACATCATTTTTTGTACTATTTCACCATAGCGGTACACTGTTTTGCATGGTTTTTCCTGTTTATTTATTGATTCAATGCCTTTTCCCTTGAATATTTATTGTCTTTTTACATACGTTATCCTGCTGTATTTATTTTCTACTTATTTTATCCATTGTTGTATTTCTTTCTGTGCTATTGGACAAAGAAATTTTCCCCCATAGATCAATAAATTTCCATTCTATTCTACAGTTCACTCTGAAAACGGGTCATTAGATATCAGTAACTGAGGGGTTTGATCCCTGTCCAGAATCAGAATCTTTTTTGCTAAGACTTTAGCTTTGAGAAAGACATCTAGGTCCTACAGCTTCTACATTTTATTTATTGATCATACGCTGTTATCCAGAGTGACGCACTATTGATTTAGTAGGATCAGAAAGTCTCTGGAGCGGCTGGGGGATTAAGGGGTCCGATGGTGACATTAATCTGCTGACAGTGGGATTTGAAACGGCGACCTTCCAATCACAGGCACAGAATCCTAACTTACTGAGTCCCACACCACCCCCAGCTTCTCTGGCAAGAACACCTCAATGACAACCAATCCCAATGTGCTGTTGCCCCTTTAGGGGGCATTGGCTGTGAAGGAGCTGACCGTGGACAATCACGCCGCTGCCTTGATGTCGTGGAGATTTACAACCCTGATGGGGACTTCTGGAGAGAGGGACCCCGGCTGCCCTATCCGCTCCTCTCCCTGCGCAGTGGGGCATCCAATGCAGGGGCTGCAGGAGGCAAACTCTACGTGTGTGGCTTTTACAGGGGGGCTGGTAAGCACCGTGCCATACAATCATCACATGACCCCAGGTGCCACCCTCATCGTGAGCATATCCTTGATAGTTTAACACCCTAAGACTTTAATATTTATCATTTCACCTGCTGTGGAACAACATTTTATTAGTAATCAACTTGATAAGTATCAATGAAAGACATAAAATGCATGTGTATTCATGAGATTAGATTTTTTAAATGATAAATTATAATTCTATTAGCTCAGTTCAAAATAAACAATTCTCCAGTGTCATAAAGGTCAATGTCACAAGGTTTTGATGCCCAAATAGGATATTGGGTTACATCTTTAGGTGTGTGGAGTTTAAATCAAGGGAGGTGACGTTACGATTATACAATTATACAATTCCTTGGTAAGACCCCACCTAGAATATTGTAAATTTGGTCACCATACCTTAAGAAGGTCATTGCTGCCTTGGAAAGGGTGCAATGTAGGACTACAAGAATGATTCCTGGTCTTAGAGGAATGTCTTATGAGGAGAGGTTAGCTGAGCTGAATCTGTTTAGCCTTGAGCAAAGGAGACTAAGGGGGGACATGATCCAGGTATATAAGATTCAAACAGGTCTGGATGCTGTTCAGCCAAATAGTTACCTCAATATTAGTTTAAATACTAGAACTTGAGGCCATAGGTGGAAATTAGCAGTTGAACATTTTGATAAAGCACTTCTTTACACAGCATGTAGTTAGAGTATGGAATAGTCTTCCTGTTAGTGTAGTGCAAACCTTGGGTTCCTTTAAATCGGAGGTAGATAATATTTTAACAACTCTGAGCTATTAGTTAAATTCTCCCCAAATGAGCTTGATGGGCCGAATGGCCTCCTCTCGTTTGTAAATTTCTTATGTTCTTATGATGTTCAGTTTTAGTGCTGGAAATCTACATTTTGGGGAAGTTTGATATTGTATAGAGTGTACAGTGAAACACTTGACTAAAGTAAATATCCCCCTAAGTCTAATAGAGCCCTAAGTGCTGAGGTTGCTAAAGGTTTGGTCAGACAGTATTCCAAACCTTTCCTCTTAGATCGGCATGACGCCATCATCAAGGACATCATAGAACTCGATCCATGGGAGAAAGTGTGGACTATGGTGGCACGGCGTGTCCTGATGCACGACAACTATGACGTATGCCTGGTGGCCAACCTCAACCCTCGCAATCTTGTGGCCCCACCCTCAGATGCTTCAGATGAGTGATGCACCTAGGAGTCTGGACTAGCATAATGGCGCCCTTGTTATACCAAAGCTGGCACTGTGTACAACATCCATCTGGACAATCGACATTGCTTTGGCTGTGTACACTCATTAGCTTGACGCATCCATCCGTTCATCATTCATCAGAGCATGGAAGCAGCAAGACTACATGGCATGCGATGAGTACTTTTACCAGATTTAGAGGTTTGTTACGTAACTAACACTCATTACTCAGTGCTACACCATGTAGTTAATGGTAGTTTAGTGGTAAACGTCATATAATTTTTTATGGGGGCCCATTCACTGGATTCCTCATTGTGAAAGCAACATAAGGATTTCTGGTTGCAGTGAATCCCATACTGCACCCTCAAGATTCCTTTGCAAAGACCTTTCCTGGTGGAACTGTTTATACATGTACATTGACTGGGCTGCCCCATTTTGGCAGTTTAAAATGTACCGTTGACTGATGGGACAATTAAATATTATGCTGTTTTGTGTAAAGCATGTTTGGAAAAAAACCTTTGTTTACAAATTGTAGTTCTAGTGTTTAATCTCAATGATGAAAGCACCCTTATAATGTAGGCACATCTTGTTGAAGTTCTGGGCCCAGAGGTCTCAGAAATGAAGAAGGTAATATTTCACAAATCTGTTCTGTCTTCTTGACAGAACTTCAAATTCAGTGCTGATAAAAGTTTACTGAGTTTAATGAGTAAGGTTGATATAATACTGTTTTTATCCTACCATTGTGGCTTTAAAATCAAATATCTTCAATTTTTTAACTCGTAAAGGAATCATTTTTACCAATCTTCACTGATCTTGATATAGCTGAAAAATAACCTTTCACGTCACAAAAAACTTCACTTGAATAATACAGATTTAGCAAAACTTCATCGAACATAAATTCTGTCCACTAGCTTTTTCATTTAAGTGCAGGTTATGAAAATAGAAATGTTCGCCTAAGAGGATATGTCTGATACTATACAGTTGAGTATTTGCATGGTGTACATTCTTAGTTTTTTAAGGAACATTTATAGCCAAGCCTCCTACCTAATTTTTCATATCTAGGTCTTGAAAACCTTCTGCATCCATTCTAGTTTGGCCACCACAACACATAAACATAGGAGCCACTGATAACAATGGTCATAATGGTGGATTAACCAAAATGAAGTTAATTCTTGTTTCATAGTTATACGTGTTCATGTGTTTATACATGCACACACACACACACATACTGTACACACACGTAGGGTATACATATCCTTATGGGGACCGCTCATTCATGTCAATGGGAAAAATGCTAATGCTAACTATGACAACCTTAACCCCTACCCTGCCCTAACCATAACCATAATTAACCTAACAAAATATAAGAGTTTTTGCATTTTTAGTTTTTTCATAGCAGTCATTGATTTTTATGAAATAGAGTTTTCCCTTATGGGGACCAGGAAACCGGTCCCCATAAGGGGAAAAAAATGGATATTTATCACGTTATGGGGACATTGTGTCCCCATAAGGATAGGTAAACCCACTCACACACACACACACATACACTGTTCTCTACTAACACTCACTTTTATGGAGTGCTTTTACAAAGTTATCTGTGATTTCAGAAAAATGATTTTGGAAGCCTAAAATAAAACTTTGCTTTTCTTTTGTTAGTTTGTTTTGACACGTTTAAAGAAATTCAGTGCATCTGTTAGGCACCTCAGCACCACACTAGTCTGAAAGGACCCAAGTAAATTTTTTCTGGTGACTGGAGTGCCAATCCTCCCACCAACACCAAATTTCCCTGTAAGTTAGAGGACTGCTTTGCAGGGCTGGATGTAGATTAACATCATACCCAGGACAAAGCAACTGCAGGTTAAGAGCCTTGCTCAAGGGCTCAACAGAGTAGGATCACTCTGGAATTCTCAGGATTTGAACCAGTGACTATCCAGTTGTTGGCACAGATCCCTAGCCTCAGAGCCACCACTCTGCAATGCAGATTCCACACAAAAGTATAAATCAACCGTAAGTCCTCACTGATTGTAATGTTTTAATAAAACCTTACTGTTCAGTGGTAAACTTTAGTGCTCCTATGTAATATTTGGGAACTTCAAAAACTGAGANCCGGTCCCCATAAGGGGAAAAAAATGGATATTTATCACGTTATGGGGACATTGTGTCCCCATAAGGATAGGTAAACCCACTCACACACACACACACATACACTGTTCTCTACTAACACTCACTTTTATGGAGTGCTTTTACAAAGTTATCTGTGATTTCAGAAAAATGATTTTGGAAGCCTAAAATAAAACTTTGCTTTTCTTTTGTTAGTTTGTTTTGACACGTTTAAAGAAATTCAGTGCATCTGTTAGGCACCTCAGCACCACACTAGTCTGAAAGGACCCAAGTAAATTTTTTCTGGTGACTGGAGTGCCAATCCTCCCACCAACACCAAATTTCCCTGTAAGTTAGAGGACTGCTTTGCAGGGCTGGATGTAGATTAACATCATACCCAGGACAAAGCAACTGCAGGTTAAGAGCCTTGCTCAAGGGCTCAACAGAGTAGGATCACTCTGGAATTCTCAGGATTTGAATCAGTGACTATCCAGTTGTTGGCACAGATCCCTAGCCTCAGAGCCACCACTCTGCAATGCAGATTCCACACAAAAGTATAAATCAACCGTAAGTCCTCACTGATTGTAATGTTTTAATAAAACCTTACTGTTCAGTGGTAAACTTTAGTGCTCCTATGTAATATTTGGGAACTTCAAAAACTGAGATTGAGAAACAATTTCTGTCTTTTAAAGCATTCATCTTTAATGCAAATAAATGACATTTTCCATTAGATTTGTAATAACTGTGGCCACATTTTGTATTGTTTGCACACTTTATACTTAACACACTTAATTCTGCAACTTTTACCAGCAGAGATAATAACCTTCAGCTTACCAGCACATTTCTGTGTGTATACAGAAACAACACATAGTGGCGTCAATAAGTATTAAGTACTGAGTAACAATCACTGTCTAACTGGTGACTCATATTGAGATTGAATATCAGATCCCCACCCAAATCAATCAGAATCATCGCTGATGCTAAACAGCTGCCAGAGGCCTTTATTTTGCGGTGATGTCTGTAGTGTGTGTGGTTTTCCTGTGACCCAAGTTGCTGTGGCCATTGAGTACCCAGCATGGCCTTGTACTGCATTCCCTTTTTTCGGCTGAACCCCCCCCATGCCAGCACCTTGGCACAGGCCCACAGACTGTGTGGTAGGCAGAGTCCATGCCATTCCTGTCTCAGAAGGGGTGGCTCTGGGCCTTTTCCTCAGGGCTCGCTTAGGTCTGTTTGCCTTTATACGCCCATTGTGGACACCTGCTTGTTTATCTTTGCAGCTAAGGACCTGTGGACTCTTCTTATCATGTGGGGGGGCATTCTCCTTACAACATTTTGGGATACTGCCTGACCTGTGCTGGTTCTTCCTTTGTGTGCTGGCAGAACGGGTGCAGTAGAATTTCTGCAAGGGCTCCTTGCTTGACCCAACTGTCAACGTGTCGGCCAAACGCTCTGTGGGTATCTCTGCCTCACCAGCTTGTGGCGCCTTCTCTAGGTCTTCCATCTTTCCCAGAGCAAATGGTTCAGGACCACAGAAATGCGTACCCTCAAGGTACTTGGTCTTCTTCTTTACTAAGTTTTCAAACAGGCAGGGTGAGGTCTGCACTGCTCTGCCTGTCACCTGCTTTGCCAGACTGTGAGAGGAGACCAGGGTGCAGAGTTGCGACAGGATGTCCCCCATCATACACTGTTCTTTGCCATGCTCTGCTCTCAGGCTCACTAGGTCACGATGGAGGCTCTCCACAGAGGAATGCAGGGCACTCACCTCCACACTGATCTGGGACACAAAACACATTTAAACATACTTTACTGCACACTGACTTTTATGTTAACCTAATGCAGTAAATGGACAGTTTGATGTTTCTGTTCCCACGCTTTCCTCCTTGAATTAAATTGGATTCATTGTTCACCATTCTTCTTCACTAACAATGATTCATACAGTAACCTAATTTAAGTGGAATGCTGATAATCTTGATTTTTGTATCTAGTTTCTTCCCCCACCTGTAATTCTTTGGTACCACAAGATGAATATAATGAGAATTATTTCTTGAAGTGACATATTTATGTTGGCTGTCTAACTTTCATAAACACGTTGACAAAAGTAATTTAACACAGCAAGAATCTTCTAAAAGAAACATTACCCTTGTAACCCAGCTCAGACAGCACCATGTTCCCTCTCCCCCAAGATTTCCAATCTAGACCATTATAACAGGTCTTTTGTAGACCAATAGCAGCATCACCCCACTGGTAGTTATTTCCATAGACTTTTTCGGCTTGCCTGTTAAAATCTACACACCTTTGTCTCTCTGTCCTCCACGTCTCTGAGCTTTTGTGCCAGGGAGGCCAGTTCATTAAGAAATGATTCCAGAGGTGACACCACACTCTTTTTCACCATTGCTGCATGGTCTTGAACTAAAGCAAACAGCCCAACAGGATCTGTTATTTAGGTTGTAGGTTGGACACATCAGGGGGGGCTATCGCCATTGTCTGTATATTGACCCATCCCCCACTCCCATATCTCACGCGTCACTTATGTTTCTGCTGCATCATTGCAGGTAAAATGTAAGAATTACACATACTGCAGAACTGAGACTTAATTTTGCAGAAACCTTACTTTTACAATTGATCAAACCAGCACAATAGCACCATCTACTGGACTGACCAAGTCATTGCTGAGCGACCGAGTAGTCAGTATAAGGCAGGGAGCAGACAGGCAGTAACCAAGCAATGAACGTTGATGTTCGGTTATTTACCAAGTAAAGAAAATCTACTTTTCAAATAGTAAGTGAATGATTCTGAATGTCCCACCCATTGACCCCTCAATTATGGGGATATAAAAAATGAATATTTTGAGAGAGAATGTCTGATTCCATCCCACAACCCTGGGCTGGGCAGGATAAGCAGCCAGAAGAAAGGTGGATGAATGGATGAATTGATGCCTGTCAGTAAATTAGTAGAAAAGCTACACACCTGAGAGTGAAACATTCCAGTGCGCATCACCAAAAACAGATTATGCATACCATCATGGATCAAGTCTTCCAGTGAAACCTACTTGTTGTTGTCAGACCATCTAAATGCTCCAGAATAACTCTCTTGGCAGATTCTATGCTTCCATCAATGCTATTAAGAGTAAGCTTTATCTGAAAAAAACAGAAGCAACCCATTACGTTTTGTCCAAAGAACATGTGTTGTGTCAAGCTGAAGCCCTCACAAGCCACAGGGCTTTCTGGTTGTTGCTTCAGGCCGGTGAGGACTGCAGTTTCACACACGTGAAGAAAATTCTTCCTGTTTTCCTGCCCTACAACACTTACATTTTCCATAATGTTTCCCAGTTGAAGTACACGGTCTGTCAACATGCTAAAAAAAACAGGATCAAATGAAATTCAGCACTGGATTTTTTTTTCAGTGAAAAAAATCACATGCATCCAAGGGTTCAATCAAATTAGACATCAATGTATAGAAGTTTGTCATATAAGTGAGTTTAATATTCAGTTACTGCTTTGACACTTGATATATTCCTTATTAGCGATTCTAAAGAAATACTACAAAAAATCCAATAAACCAGAACGATCTCAAATTTAAAGATACAAGCCCTCCTGAACCTTTCTGACACTACAAATGTAGATCAAAGCTAAGTTTAGCTTTACCTCTCATCCCTCTCTTTTGCTTTCCTCTCAACATCCTCAAACATCTCCAGTATCCCTTTGTTTGTACTATCTGTGAGAGCTGGCACTTTGCTTTTGTCCTGAGAATCTCCCCCAAACAGGTATGGCTTGATCTGATAGCTTGTAGAAACTCTACATTCATTAACCTAAAAGCATGTGTCAAACAGCATAAACAGATGATGTTTAGCAATAACTATTAGTCTAATAATGTTTATGCTTCTCAAGCTTCCCTCCACCAGGCCTGTAGCCCGAAATAAATTTCATGGGGTGTCTGACAACTCTACTGACAAGACCCCCTCGATAGACAGTGCAGACCAGTGCAGACCCCACAGATTTTGCTGATTAGGGGGGTGGGGGTTCAAACTCATGATTTTACCAGCTGGCTACGTGCATGCCATAAAAATAATCAAACAAAAGCAACTGCAAAATAAGGTAAAAAAACAATGCACACTGGCCAGAAAAACCCAAGGAACAGGACACTGGAAGACCTCTGAGTTCTGCTGTGAAGTTCTGGATGGGAAACTCATCTCTACAGACAAGCCCTGCGACTGATCGGGCCAGAACTGTGATCCAAAGAGAAACTGGGAGTCTGTCAGGCTGGAATAATCGCTGGCAGCAGGGATTAGACTAGAAATCTTCTGGGGCACCCTGTAAGAACAGTGATGGACAATAAGACCCAAATAACATCATTGGTGTATATGATCATCAAACTATACAGCACTGTACTCACTGACAGACCTCAGGAACAGGTTAAACACGTGACCTCTACATCAATACGTCCTAATACATATGAGACCTAATAGTCCCCGTTATTCAACATACTGCCTTTTCAAAGCACCCGTCATAGTAAATACAGCAATAGTATCTGAAAATTGCTTCACATAATCTATTTATTCCAGGTGAGATATTAGGAATAAATTATATTTAAATATGTATGTTTAGGACTACTTACCCAGATGCGGGTGGGATGCTTAAAATCTCTTTAATGTTCCATGTGTTAGGATTCATATTTGAAAATCGGCTCTAATAAAATAAAGTAGCCGACTTGGTATTTTCTATATACAACAAACAGGTGAAGAATAAACAACGTTAATTATTAATACACCGGAGTATTACAGCAGCTAGATGGCTAGCTAATTATATCTCTGAAAAAATACAAAATTGGGGCGGGTACCTTTCTCAAAAAACGACGTTTTCAAAACACAATTACATTGATTCCTTTACATTTCTCGTTTTTAGCTTTGCGCGACCATGCCTTAAAAACGAGCCTTCAAATGGTTAACCTTTCGGCTTGGTTCTGAGGCCAGATAATGGCACGTGATATCAGCGACTCGTCACGTGGGGGTCATCGTGGGCGGGAATTTAAGCCGTAACCCCTCAAATACCCGGAATGAGTGTGACCACGCCGCAAAAAATACACTTACTGCCTTTTTTACACTTAGCTGACAGCAATCAGCAGTGTTCGCCTTTTCCGTTTTCACGTATTTTTTCGACAAGCATTTGGAAATTAACATGTAATATGTTATGAATGGTCTGGCTTTAAAATGAGAACATCATTTATTATAAAAATGTAATAATAATAAAAATATTCGTATCGGATATCACAGCCCTCCATTGTAATATATTGCTGTAGTAATCCTGATGGACCCGAATGGACATTCATTAACAATTGTAAATGTCGTAATACTTACATTATTAAAATATGAATTCAGCTAAGTTCCTATTACATATAGTCATATTGCTTCAAAGATGTAAGAAAATGTGCCCGACTATTATGTAAAGTAACTGAACTAATCTGTTACATAATATCTGCTTAAGCTATGCTACATTTAACCCGTGTATGCACTAGACTGCTATCAGTAACAATTCGCAATAACAAAATACGAGTAGTACTGTTTACTGTTTAAGTACATGAAGGGGTTTCTGGTTTTCATGTCCTGTCGGTTTCCAAACAATTTCCACGGGCATTTCCGCTCCACATTCCGGAATGACTTCCTGCATGTCCTGCCGCCATGCAGTCTGCTGCAGAGACTTACGGTGAGCTTAGCTCATCCCATAGCCTCACGGTTCACCGCCCTTATCACCACAGTTATCATACAGTATGTTGACCATAAGAAAGTTTATGAAAGGATGCAACTGAATTGGTGTTTACAAGAGCATTCAGTGTCTGCATATGTGAATTATTACCTAGACTACTTCTGCAATTCAACATAAAATGCTACCCACTCTAGAGTAAGGCTACATTTTGTGCATCATGAAATGCATAATGTTTATTTATTTAATTTCTATGTGTTCTTTAATTTCCAAAACTGTGTATTTGTGGAGTTTCATACATGACACATGCTGCCCATTTCAGGAGGGCCATAAGGATATGGCGTCCTCAGGCGAGACTGTACACAGTCTTAGGGCCAATCACAACCCAAGGTAAGCCTTCAGTGGTCCAGCTCCTAGGCAAGACCCCTGACTGTCTGACTGCTCTGAGTGGACACAAAACCGGACCGTGACAAAAGATCCCTAATTGGGACTTGGGGTTTGTTAAATAGAGACTGGGATTGGCTAATTTGATATTCCCTTATCATTCGTTCCTTGCAGTGTTTACTCAAAAATCAAACAGTATGTCATAGCTTCATCACCAACCTTTTGGTATTATTTATTCTGTGCCATTAACATCATGCCAGTAGGTCTGGCATTTTGTGTCTTGGTTACCCTTATTGTTAAATTTATAACAATTGTAATTTCAATATTTACAGGCACAAATTTACAGATGACAAAATGTTAAATCTACTGAAAGGGATATTAAAGGGGAACACACCCCAGCCCTCACCCCCAAAAAAGAAACAAAGATGGGATAAAATATGCATAATTCTCTTGCCCCTGTTCTGTCCTGGAATGTCTGTAGAGAGCCCAGACATACAGTTCATATAAGACTGGTAGCTGGCGTTTGCCTGGTTACCACATTTGGGTATGCATTAGTGGGGGTGTAAGAGAAGGTTTTGAATATGCATAAATTACAGCTATAAATTATCACTTGAATACAGTTCAGAACACAGGACAATATGATATTAAAGCCTTACTCTTCAAATACTGTATTTGCATGAGTTCAAAGGTATGTTATAAAACTGTAATCTTTGGTATACAAAATTTCTCTTCTGTTTTGAGAAGGATTATAGAATAATGTGACATTCCCCTGAAAGGTTCATAATTCTGCCAGGTTCATTAGTATTCATCTTGGCTTACCACTTTGACTTTAAATGAGATGCAGCACCTGTAAATTAGGAGCCTAAATCAGGATCACTTTGACACCACAGACACTTTGTGATAAGACTTCTTTTGTCATGTGACTTGTGGAAAAAGACTGGTGAAGTCTTGAGGCTATTTAAGTACAGCAAGTAGGTCACAAGTTTTTCACATGACATTTTATTGGTTTTACTTTTAATCTGGCAGCTTTTTTCTGATACACAGGCATTCAGCACATAGGTCTAATATCTTACTATGTTGGTATTCATTATACTGTGGTTTAACTTACCTGGGCCTGCCCAGAACCTGTTTCATTTATTAAACGTGAAAACTTTTTCTTCAGACTAAAGACCTTGAATATGGGAGCAATTACTGAAATGCATTAAAAATAGTACCAAATTAATTTTATTTCAGCAATATTCAAGAAAATAACTACCCTAAGTGATGAAAGTTCAGAATCTGTTATGTATGTAGGTCCTGAAAATTCTCCAGCAGAAGGAAGATAATGGCGTTAATCTAAAGTCAGTCAACTATTCCCCCATAAAAACAGTTCATGGCATTGTTTGTTTACTATGCTTGCAACCAGTTCCATGGCTAATTACATATGCACCCAATGTATGGTTACAGATCGATTCCATAACTGAGCGGCTATAAACATATTGTAGAGGTAGACTAATGACTACAAATAATTTACAGTGAAAGTTTCTTTTTACAGTAAAGTTATAGGCACATGACCGTGGAAGCAATTGATATAAAAACTGGTGAAATAGCCAGTCCCAAACTGTCCATTTTTTCAGTGTCAGCACATGCATTAGCACCATAGATACATAGATAAAGTCCAATATCTCGTGTATACCAAAAGAAAGCCTTCGTCTACATCTGGCTAATAATTTCGGAGTCCTCCTCTATGTACCACTGTAAGGGCCTTCCGTCTGAAGGTCTATGGATGATTCTTGTCTGAGGGACCTGCAGGAGAGAGGAGACAGATGAGCACTCTTGATCCTATAAAGGGACACTTGCATGATAGAAAAGGCTTCATTGTCAGACCTGACAATCATATACAGGCGACAGCTCTCACAAGGCTCTTCCTGTGGTGTCAAGTGCAGCAATGGGGCAGTGTAATGCAGCCGGACATTGTGTTGGTTTTGGTGTTTGACCGACCTGGGTGGCCCAGGTTAACAGAACCCTGGAGCATAAGTGAGTTCCTGAAGAATCCAGGTGCACCACACAACATCTAGGCAGGAATCCCTTTCCTGGGCCTGATTGCAGGCAGAGAGGGCAAAGCGAAGCCTCCAGGGACAGAGCAGATATTTACATCCACTGCTTCTGCAGATAAGACCGTTTAGCAAGAAACTCATGGGACATGGTGTTTAAAGTTCACAGATGTGCAGCTGTTAAGGGGTGAACTGAGCAATACAGCCAGTACATTTCATGACACTGCATTACATGATAATACTTGCTTAGCTAATGCCTTGTTCTAGGGCAACTTTACACAGTATGTGTTACACTTCTAGGTACTTATTCAGAGTGACAATGAGAACACTGCTCAAAGATAGAACCGCACCACCAGCCCCTAAGCCCCAGGTGGGGCTTGCTGATGAATGGAAAAAGCTGTTGGATGACTCAATGAATGACTTTCTGCAATGTCTGGTTTTCCTTAAGTTATCTTGTAAAGGTGGGATTGGGAAATGCCAGGTTCTGTCCAGGTGTGTCATGCAGGAAGCCAAGGGGAGATTCCCACGATACCTTGGCCCTGGCTTGTGCCCTTCTTCCTTATATCTTTCTCCCTTCTATCACCACGTCATTTCTATAGTTTTGTACTGACAGGACCAGGCGAGGAGAAGGATCTGCAGTAAGCAGCTTTCCAGCCAATTTACTCAACACTGCAGCACTTTGACAATGGCCCTGGAAGTGCATCCCTCTCAGTAACTTTACACGCAGCCTGTCTACAGCCAGGATAATGACAGAGAACAGCAGCTGGCCACCAAGAGAAGTCACTTCTGCAACAAGGAGTGCACTCTTTGTCACTACTTTGTCTTTCCTTGTGCTAATAAATTGACATATCCAGGACAATGTGGCGATTATAGTAGTATACATTACCCACATGGGCATCATCATATAATTACACTGGTATACATTTCTCCACAGTTTCCCGACAAATACCAGATGTGTCTCAACAGACCTCTTGATAAGCATCAAATAGACGATGTGGAAAAAAACCACTGGCTTAAAACAGCTTTGGTGAATGGCAATAAACACATAAACACAGACAGCTTGGTGACAGATAGATATACATGATGTAACCGAGTAGTATTTCAGGGGAAAAAGTTCACCGTCTCCACAAATGCATGTCATTTCACTGACTGCATCAGGTATTGTTCATCATATTACTCATTCACATAACACAAAATGTCATTTAATTCAGAAGATGAAGGTCAAATATACTATGCAGAACTTACTAGCATATTAAGAAAGAAATATTTCTATTCTAACAGGAAGATTAAAAATGTAGTTTCCATTTCTTGACTTGATTGGTACCATAATAGGTCCAGTGAAGACTGCAAAGCCTAGTTTTTACATTCCAATTCATCACATTTAGTTTTTGGTTTGTTTTTTGCCAAATGGACAAATAACTAAGCTGACCACATCCATAGTGGAGAACATAACTGATTTACTACTTTTAACTGGGTGGAGATTTTGTTTTAAGCCCTACATTCTAACTTTAGTGCTGTGACACTTGCGTCATGTGGTATCATCATAACTAGCTCCCAACCCCTCCTGTGCAATTTTCTAATGAATACTGGCAATTTATCCAAAGGCAGAATTAACACTTTCACACTTACTCTGGCTGTAGCCTCTTCACTCTCTTTTGAACAGACACACTACACCTGACAGCCTGGATTTCCACATTCCGGACGTTCCAAGTACGTGGTTCATTAAGCACCCATTTAGTGTACAATGTGCCTGTGCTTTATCATAATTAATCGAAAGCATTTCTAAGCATTCTTCTGCTCTAAATGGTCCTGTCTACTTTTCTTTTTTAAGAACCCTGGAAGCACGATGATTCATATAGAGTAAAATTAAAATGGCTCTGAGGACTGTATTGCAAAATACAGAAACATTTATAGTTCTCCAGGAACAAGGTAATGAAACTCCATAAAATGTACCTGAACCACAAGAAACTCCCCCCTTCACTGGCAGAAGCTGAAACTGTAGATCATGAAGTTGGTTAAGCCTGGCCCAATGGGGCGCTGTCAGGACACGACTGACAAGGAACTGCCTTCCCTGACATGCGCACATAAACGCAGGCCTCCTACACCCTTGTGAGATGCCTGCAGGTTGCCTGCAGACTCATGACAACAATGCAATAGATACTCACTTAAGGAGCCTAACCCTGGAAACACGGGCCACAAGGCAGGGAGAGCATTGGGTGGGGGCTGTGATCGGAAGGTATGCGGTTCAATTCCTGTGGTTGGCAGAGTAATTTCACCCTTGGACCCTTAAGCAAAGCCCCAAATACCCCAGGGACTGTCTCACCCTGCTTTCTCAAAAAAACATTCATTATTCATTTCTTTGAATAAAAGTGTCTAATGTGCTAAATAAATAATAGTAGTTCCATGTCATTCCTATGGGGTATGATGCATCAGCTTCTCTCATTTCTAACACTTAAAAGCTTAATTCATCACTGTCATGGCAAAGTTCAGTAAGAAAGTACTGCTGGGTGAAACCATGCAACATTTTCATATAACAATCGTAATTATAATAAAGCCTTTTGCCCTCCAATAAACATTTAAAAGTAATGCCCTTTTTTAGCAGTACCCCAAGCCGGAATGCAGCCTTCCCACTCTGCCAATCACAGTTCTTCCCTGGCATGTTACTTGTAACACTGTACATGCATGGTATATTACAATGTGACAGGCCAGGACATGCCGGTATAAAGAAACCAGACAGTCTTGCTTCACACCTCAACAAGTAAAAACATCTTCCAGCAGAAACAATCCAATAGCACGTCCTCTTTTTTTTAACTTGAAGTAGCCCATGTCAAGATGTGACCGCAGGTAAAGCGACACCTAAAACGTCATGTACACTGATATACGAGCCCTATTGCTGCGATGCCCCACAAGAGTACCACCACAGATCTGTTGTGTACGTGTTGTTGGTTGTTAGGCAGATTCAGCTTCATAGCCATGGGTGGGTTTGGACATGAAGCCCTGTGACGCATTCTAACACTATGTCCTCAGGTGTGCCTGAGCTCCACCCAACCTCCATCCTGTATAAATATCACAATAGCTGGGATGTGTCAGATCTCAACATGTCTGTTTATTTCTTGTGCAGTTCATAGCAGATTTATTGGGATATATTTAACTACCTTTAATGACCTTGAAGTACGCTCAAGCGGAACAGTAAGCTGGTTTATGAAAGTTCTTTACCTGCTCAGGGAGCTGGTGCATCACTGGGGTCAGCGGAGAGTCCCGGCCCTGATACGTCCTGATACGGACCGCGCCCTGCCGGTCGAGCGAGTGAGGCCGAGGCACATGCATGTGGTTCCGTTGGTGCCAGGAACGTAGCTCGTCTGATACAGCCTCCTGGGGGTGGCTCATGTGGTAGTGGTAGGAGGAATAATCCCTAAGCGAGGGCGTCCGTGCCAGTCTGGCGTTCACGGGGCAGGAATGCGGCACCCACTGCTGAGAGGGGTCCTCATACTCATGCCAGAATTCATAGCGGCTGCGCCCACTTAAGTGGGGAGGGGCTACATGCACATACGCGACATCCATCTCGGCTGGGTAGCCAGTCCTCTCCTCCACGAAGTCCCGGTAGAAGCTCGGGGTGGAGTGGGGGTGTTGGCTCTTGTAGAGGCTGGGCCCACTGAAAGCCAGTGGCCTGGGGTAGCCCAGCGGTGGGCTGCTGGTGTGGGGGGCATAGCGATGCCCATTTGGCTGTGGGGTCTCTGCCTGGGCCTCGCGGCGGGGTGAGCCGGTGTGGGAGGAAGCCGAACACTCCGAGCCGCTGTCCTCGGAGTTGCACTGGTACACTGGGCCCCCGGAGGTCCCCCTAAAGGCCAGGTACTCAGACGCTGCCCTGGCTAGGTCGCCCCTGTCAGTGAGCCGCCTGTGAGCCAGCGGGGAGCGTCTTCGATCTTGATCCAAGTCGTGGGGCAGCGCGACACTGGGAGCTCTGTAGGGAGCACAGAACGTAAATGAAACAGTACTGGCTGATACTCATTCCTCATATCATTTTGTAGAATCTGTTTGTTTAGCAAAGACTTTTATCCAAAGCGACGTACATTTTTTTCCAGGAAGCAAGTTAGAGGACTTGATCAAAAGCCCAATGCTGAAATCAGTCTACTGACCATGGGATTCGAACTGGCAACCTTCCAATCACAGGTACAGCGTCCTAACCTGCTGAGCTACACAACTCCTGTATAATATTTTTGTGCCATTTTCCTCATTTTTTAGCCATTTCCCATAAGTCAATTGACCTCACTGTATGTGGGGTAAGGAAGAGGTGAACAAGCACAATTGCCCTCCTCTCTGTGCCTTAGTAGCCACAGGATTTTGTTTTCACTCGCTATCAAGCAGTAAAAGACGTGCTGAGGCGGGTGACCCTACCCACAGCCCGGGACCCACCACACCAAAACCACGCTGATGAGTTTGTATGAAACTATCCTATGTCAACCACATCCTATGTCAACTAAATGTGAACATTTCCAGCCTTGTAATAATAAGAATTAGTAATGCCACCACTCAAAACGTGCATTTGCGTGGAGCCCCTGAGGTTTGGAGCTTCTGCCTATTTCATTGGGGCCCCAGAAAAAATAATCCCTATTTATACCCCCAGTAATAAAGCCGTGAAGTTCTGACCTTGCAGGCAAGACTGACCTGAGGGAGTGGTGGCGACGCAGGTGCAAATCTGGTGTGGAGGGGGCACTAGTGACCTGGATCTGAGGCACTGGCAAGGTCTTGACTGGGGTAAACTGGTGTGGGAGGGGGGCATCTCCCAACCTGGGCTCCACTGGGTTCGAAACAGCGCTGACAGCTGAACTACTATAGAGAGAGAGAGAGAGAGAGAGAGAGATATTATTGATGGAACAGTCATGTTACCCAGGGGTAATGCAAAATGTAAACAAGGAGCACATACAATGGGTCCTGTCAGGACAAAACTATAGAAACTGCATCTAGTTATGCATGAAGTGCTCTTACCGAAACCACAAAAAAGAAAAATGGCCCGGTGAAACAGACTACTCCCTCTCACCATCTGCAAGCTGCTGTTCATGAGGAATTAGCTCATAATAAAGAACTTAAAGGGATTAATCTCCCTGCTTCGATAATGCCGTATTTCATACTGAAAACATACTACTGTTTTCAGCAGCTAATAGAAACATGGCAACCAACTATATATATATATATATATAACTATTTATATTGTTATATTCAGTAGGTACTTTGCTACAATAACACATCTGCTCAGAGACGTGAATTGGGATTTTGTTTATTTACCATCCCATGACCCTGGCCATGATGGGCGTTTGAAAGATGGATGGATGGATGGATTTGTTTACCATGACTGGCTACTGCTAGGCCTGTGAGACCTTTTGGGCTTCTGGTAGGGCTGGTCCAGGCTAGACTCCTTCCAGGGGGAGTTCTGAATAGGAGAGCGCTCGTAGGCAGGGGCCACATGGCAGCCCGGTTTCAGTCCCTCCAGGGTCTGCGGGGGTTGGGGGCGCGAGAGCTGTGAGGGTGGGTGGAGCTCCATGGTCTGGTGGGAAGAATCTGTGGCTCCCTCATCTGGAGAAAACAATGACATCAGCCACTTGGCACCGAGTTTTCATTGTCTGTCATCTGCTGCTGAGGGGGCTTTTGGGTAAATGTGCAACACTGTACACACGCGAAGATCGGAGGGAGGGAGACAGGCAGGGGGGGGGGGGGGGTTTGC